CTCAGAGCAAAGGTCTTTCCACACTCCATGCATTTAAATGGATTTTCCCCCGTGTGCATCTTTTTGTGTATAGTAAGTCTACTGCTCAGAGCAAAGGTCTTTCCACATTCCATGCATTTATATGGTTTCTCTCCTGTGTGTATCATTTTGTGTCTTTTGAGTCCAGTGCTCTGAGTAAAGGCCTTTCCACACTCCATGCATTTGAATGGCTTCTCCCCTGTGTGGATCTTCTTATGGGAAATAAGATGACCACTTTGAGCAAAGGTCTTCCCACACTCCATGCATGTATACGGCTTCTCCCCTGTGTGGATCTTCTTATGAGTAATAAGATGACCTCTTTGAGCAAAGGTCTTTCCACACTCCATGCATTTATATGGTTTCTCTTGTTGGGGAAGAAAGCCTTGCATCGGTGCATCAGTGGAAGATGAGCTTTCCTGATTCCAATTATTTGACTGGTTTCTTTCATGGCTTTGGAATTCCAGTTGAATTCCAAAATTCTCGATTCCATTGTTAGCATTGATCACTTGGAACAGTTCACAGGAATCTTGATTCTCCTGCCTATTATTACCTTCAAAGCAAAAGAAAATGATAAGGTCAGAGAAAAAGATCAAAGTGTAGAAAGTCAAGTGAATTTCCTTCTGAGTTTCTCCAAAATTCTATTATGTATTTTGCATGCATACAGTGATTTGATATAGACATGATTTCTATATCCATGAGTCATGAAAGCTTTGAAAATATCTAGAAACATCTCTTTCTTTACAATTATCTATATATATATGCAAATCTCACTCAAAGTCAGTTTTGACTTAGGGAATAATCAGCAGTAACATCCAAGGAGGAATTAAGCCTCCCATTGGCTTTTAAACGTTCTTCGTGTTGAGATTGCAAAGGTTGGGAGGCTTCAAAAATGGCTATTTCACTGCCCAAAGTCCCATCAGCTTGCAAGAGCTCTTTGGTTGGATCTGGTACCAGCTTCAGTTTGCAGAAAGAGGAGGCCTAAACTACTTCAGTGTGAGATCACGCAAGACCAGTAGTGCAAGATCTCAGGCTACTAATCTCGCATGATCTTGCAGTGCAATACTTTCGACCTGTGTTTTTAAGAACTGAGGACTGCACGAGATCCAGGGCAAAAGTCTTTGAAAATGAAGAAGCCTACCATCTGTTTGAAAAGCATAATACAACAGTGATTGGTCTCATTCAAGACAACGATGAATCTGCATATAGACGGGAGGTTGTACAACTTGCCTCATGGTGCGATTGGAACAATCTGGAACTGGACACACTCAAAACCATAAAAATGGTGGTAGACTTTAGGAGAAACCCTCCTATACTACCACTTCTTACAATAGACGACAACACAGTATCAACAGTAGAGACCTTCAAGTTTCTATCGTATTTCAAGACTTAAAATGGACACCTAACATCAAAAATGTCATCAGAAAAGCACAAGAATGTTCTTTCTGCATCAACTCAGAAACCTCAAACTGCCCAAAGAGCTGCTGATACAGTTCTACAGAGGAATTATTGAGTCTGTCATCTGCACCTCTATAACTGTCTGGTTTGCTTCCGCAACCAAACAAGACAGACACAGACTTCAATGGATAATTAGAACGGTAGAAAAAACAATTGCTACCAATCTGCTTTCCATTGAGGACCTGTATACTGCAAGAGTCAAAAAGAGGGCTGTGAAAATATCTAGACCCTTCACATCCTGGACATAAATTGTTTTAACTTCTACCCTCAAAACGATGCTATAGGGCATTGTACACCAGAACAACTTGATACAAGGACAGTTTTTCTCTGAATGCCATCACTCTGCTAAAAACTAACTCTCACAACACTGTCAAACTATTTACTAAGACTGTATTACTATTATTCTTCTCATACTTCCTATTACCTATCTCCTCCCACTTATGACGATAACCTTGTTGCTTGTATCTCTTTGATTTGGCCAATAAAGAATTCAATTCAATTCAAGGCCTTGGTTAGCAGAGAACAGAGGCCTAAAGTACTGTAGTGCAAGTTCATGTGAGATTAGTAGTGTGAGATTTCCCACTACTGATCTCATGTATCTCTCACTACTTTAGGCCTCTTTTTTCTGCAAATGCACCAAAGCAGGCAAAGGAACAGATTTAGTTTACTTTATTGTCATTGCACCTCGTAAAACGAAATCAAATACCATCTTCAGTCACATCATGACCATGAAAATAAATACAAACACACATCCTTCATGCTCCACACATTGAACCGAAAATGCCTGACACTGCACCAATACTGCACTATATGGTAGAATTCAAAAGAGCTACTGCCCTGGGATAGAAGCTGTTTTTCAGCCTATTTGTCCTTGTTTATAATATTCTGTACCGTCTGCCAGATGGTAATAGTTCAAAAAAGGGGTTCACAGAATGAGATGGATCTTTGAGAATGTTTTGAACTTTCTTAAGGCAGCGGGAGCTATAAAGCTCTTCCAAAGAGGGGAGAGGGCAACCAGTGATCTTCTGGGCAATGACGTTAACCCTCTGGAGTGCTTTCCTATCTGCCACTGTGCAATTGGCAAACCATACAGAGGTGCAATAAGATACTCTCTATGGTGCAGCGGTAGAAGGTCACCAGCAGTTTTTCATTCAATAGTTGTTTTCTGAGAAGCCTCAGGTAGTATAATCTCTGCTGGGCCCTTTTGACCAGTGCTGCAATGTGAGCACCTCAGTTCACCCCCAGAAACTTAAATCTGGCCACTTGCTCCACTCGATCTCCATTGATAAGCAAGGGCTGGATGTCTGATCTCTTCCTTCTATAGTCCACTATAAGCTCCTTAGTCTTATTGGTGTTGAGGACCAAGTTATTGTCTCCATACCATGAAACAACCGGTCCCCCTCATCTTGATAGGCAGACTCATCCCCCCTCCGCCCGCTGGAGATGAGTCCCACCATGGTTGTATCATCTGCAAATTTAGTAATGGTATTACTAGTGGAAATGCAGTCATGCACATAAAGAGAGTAGAGTAAGGGACTCACTACATCACTGCAACGCAACGCAAGACCTGTGGGGTGAGGTGGGTGGGGTGAATGTTGTTGCAGCACCTCTGTTGTCATTCATAAGTGTGAATGATGGCCGTGGTGCTGCAACATTCGTAATTTCAGGATTGAGTCTTAAGAACTTGGGAGTGGGCTAGACCATAACTGGGAATTTAGTGAACTGTCATAACTCGGGGATTACCTGTACCCCAGGATGCTCTGAGTCATACTGCATGAGACCTTTGTTCTTGAATTCGATTGGGAGAATACTCTTCCATGACCTGAGTGTGAAAGTTCTGTTCTCATAAAATTTGGGGAGGTTTCAGAGGACAAATGATAACACATTCTTCTCACATGACCTCCACATAAAAGCAACCGCATCCTTCTCAGCCTCCACAGATAAGTTCAAATAGAAATGGAACAATACAGATAAGAAATGGCCCAAAACCATCTAAGCAAAGAGACATTGACTCTTTCCTTCCTTGGAGTACCAGAAGGCCAGATACTTTCCTTTTCCCTTTGAGGAGACGATATCTGATTAGTGATTTTTTAAAATAAAAAGTAACTACAATCAGTCTTCTTGAACTCTCTGATTTGGGACTAGAAAACTCTTACCCAGAGAGACCACATTCCTATAGTTTTCAAGCATGACTTCGGAATGCAGCGCTTTTTGGTCAGAATCCAGCTGAGACCATTCCTCCTCCGAGAAATACACAGCCACCTCCTTGAAGGACACAAGACTCTCCTGAACATGGAAAAAAAGAACAAAACAAGAGGATTCAGAAGATCTGTTCATCTTCAGCAATGATTTAGAAGAGAGGATAGAAGGGGAACCCATCAAATTTGCAGACAAGACCAAATTGATAGGAATATCAACACTCCAGAAGATAAGCTTGAGATAGAGAAGGATCGACAGATTGGGCCTCATTTAAGAAAATGAAAAACAACGTTGAAAAATGCAAGGTTCTACATTTAGGAAAGAAAAACCAAGTGCACAGGAATTGAATAAGTGATACCTGGCTCAACAGTAGAAAGTACAATAGGTATCTTGGGATCGAAGTGGACAATCACTGACACCCCCTCCCCCCCAAAAAAAACCCCAAAAGAATCATAGGCTGCATTAAGAGGGATAGAATCAAGATCACATGAAGTGGTAGTACCACTTTAAAATGCATCCAGTTTTGGTTGCCAGATGTAAAAAATATCTTGAGACTATAGAAAGAGTACAGAGAAGAGCAACAAAAATTATTAGGGCCTTCGAGTCTAAAACATATAAATAATGGTTGCTGGAATTGGGTATGTCTAGTTTAATGAAAAGAAGAACTGGGGGGGGGGGGGGGGGTTACATGATAGCAGTGTTCCAAGATGGAATGGATGGATTCAAGGAAAGAATCAACCTATAATTAAAGAGAAATTAACTGACAGCTAGAACAATTAATCAGTAGAATGACTTGCCTCCAGAAATTGTAGATGCTCCAACACTGGAGGCATTCAAGAAGAAATTGAACAGCCATTTATCGGAAATGTTATAGGGCTTCCTGTCTGAGCAGGGGGTTGGACTAGAAGACCTCTAAGATCCCTACCAACTCTATCCCATTTCTGGATCAACTGATCTATCGCTCTGTCTATCATTGATTGATCTAGTAGTCTGAGCCATTGGCTGAAAGGAAGAAAACAAAGAAGAGAAAATTCCCTGGGAAACTAATTTCTCAGCCTTTGCAAAGCAGGAATATTTGATCTCCTAATCAAGGCACAAATCAGAGGATTGGAAATTATTTTGTAGCCCAAAGTACCTTGATTACATCATCAAAACAGCCACTCCCTTTGGATTTTAATAGTCTGCTTTATTTTTTAATATGATTTGCTTATTCTTCAACTATGGGTTATAAATAAGGGTTCTAAAAAATGGTAATGTAGCCATGTGAGTATTTGGTTATTTTTCATTAGCCTTGCACAATTCCAAGTAAAAGAATAACAACAAAAAAATGGGTCACTAGCAGTCCCTGCCACTGTGGTATGTTTATTCTGCCCTCCATGTTGTGGAAGAACACAAAAATAATCCAGGCCAAACAAGGGGGGAAAACAGAAGGAGAGAGCACTCTGCACACCCGGTTCATTTCCTGAAGGGGGAAATACAAATTTAATAACTTTTCCCTTTCTTACTTGATTTGGGGATTCAACCGTTGTTTGATCTCCATCATTAAAACCAGAAAACTTCGTTCTTTTTTTCTCTGTAAGGAATAAGTAATTTCAAAACGCATAATTAACAAAATAGGAGTTCTATAAAAGAGAAGAAAGAGGAAAGATAAGACAGATGGGTAATCTGAGCATCTTCGATTACCTCCTAAGGTGTCCCGACTTGGATCTTCCCAAGGGATCCTCCTGAAAAATAACTCCTGAGGGGGATTTGATGGATTCTCCTTTCCCTCAGGATCTCTGATCTCCATAGTGCAACACTTCAAATAGGAGAAAGGAAAAAAGAAACAGAATTAATGTATATCACAAAATAAAGTGGAACACAATATCCAGAACACAATCTCAAAGCCCCCAATATCCATCAACATGGTTGAGTGAGAAAACAATCGAACAATGTTGTACAAGAATTGGTAGGACATCGCCACATATTATGAATGTCAGGGAAGTTTGAGAAGGAGGGGTGAGCTTCCTAAAGTGTCTCACCTGCAACTGTACCTGCTCCTTCTGCTCCTCCGCCTGGCTCAGAAGGAAGCCTTCCGCCAGGGCCACCACCTGGGAGCTGGTCTCTGCTCCACACTCCCACACCCAGTCCTCCATCTCTGGGGGTAGAAGGAACAGGAGCTGCTCCAGAACAACCAGGTCCAGCATCTGGGCTTTGGTGTGCTTTTCCGGTTTCAGCCATCGCCTGCAAAAGTCATGGAGTTGGCTGCAAAGTCCTCGGGGACCCTCAGCCTCCCAGTATTGGAGGCTCCTGAAGTTGCAGGGCTGGACTTCTAAAGGGAGGATGGTTTCCTCCTCCAGGATCTTCTGCCCAGGTCTTGTCCAGATCTCCCCACTCTTTCCAGGCTGAACATCTGAAGAGCCTTTTCCGCTTCCTTCCTTTGCAAAACGTTGCGCCTCCATCTTTTCTCTCTCCTGCAGAGCAACTTAAAATGGGTCCAAGGACTCTTGTCGACCTCCAGATGCTTTTTCCTTCACAGGATCATTTCTGGGGCCGGGCCGCAGGACGGATCCCTGAAAATTATTTCGCTCTTTTTTTCACCCAAGAGAAAATTTTGGCTTGCAAAGATTTCAAATGACTTCGAGTTTCTGTATCTGAGATGGAAAGAAAAACCAACTCCAAGAATTAGAAAGTGGAATTCAGCCCTTCCCCCAACCTGCCCGGAGCCCCAAGTGGCTCATCCCCGCGCCGGGCCCCCCCCCCCCCCCCCCCAAGTAGGGCCAGGAAGGAGGCAGATGGAGAGGCCGGCCCACTTCTCTCTCCCTCTGGAGACAGGATCGGGGCCTCGAAGAGTCTGGTGCGAATCCTGCCTACTCCTCGCCCGGCTTGGCTTCTCTCCTTTCCTGCTGGGCCTCCGCAAAGCTGACCCTCCGCTCCCCCCACTAGGGGCTCTTCCCCGGGCACGGGACAGGAGGGGACGGACCCACAGCGCCTTTCTGTTATCCCCGTTTCCCCCTGCATGGAGAGTGCGGCTGGAGAGCATGGGATCCGAGGTTGAAGGCGGAGGTGGGCCGGGCGCGGGTCTTTCCCTCCTCCGCCTCCCTTTGCTCGGGAACCGCCCTTCCCCCTCACCTGGGGCACGTCTGGATCTCTCACCGCCACTCTCACGCAGCATCACCGCCGCCTGCGGAGCCCCAGGGGTTAAGCAGAGCGAGTGCGGCAGGGTAGAACAGCAAGCATTTGTGATGTCACTTCCTTCTAGGCCTTTCCCCCCCCTCCCCTAACAAAGCCAGCTGTGACATTCGCCTTCCAGTGGACCAATGGGGAAGGTGCTGGAATTCCCTTCTCTTGGGGAGGTCGCCCCCTGCCGAAAAGTTCCAGGATCGTAGAAAGGGCGGGAAAGAGGAGCGCGTCTGAGGGGAAGGGAGAGAATAGAATAGAAGAATCGAATATTTTATTGACCAAGTGTGATTGGACACACAAGGAATTTGTCTTGGTGTAAATACTCTCAGTATACATAAAGAAAAGGTACATTCATTAAGAATCAAGAATCATAACATACAACACTTAATGATAGTCATAGGGTACAATCAACAATCAAATCATACTAGGAAACAGTCAAGTGGGAGGGGATGGGTGATAAGGAGTGGTGAGAAGATTAACAGTAATAGTAGTGTACACTTTGTAAATAGTTGGACAGTGTTGAGGGAATTATTTGTTTAGCAGCACAACATCTGTCCTGTTGGATTGCAGAACCAAACCAGACAGTTATAGAGGTGCAGATGATAGACTCAATAATTCCTCTGGCGGGGATGATGGGCTTGGGAGTAGGAAAGGCACCTCTGAATGACTCCCTGCCCATCGCGGGGACCCTGAACAAAATGAAAAAAGAAAACCAGTTCCAAAATGGAGGAAAAGCTGACACTTCTGGATATTCCGGAAATTTTACCTCATAACGGAGCTCCTTAATTTTATTTATTTATTTATTTTATTTATTTGATTTGCCAATTGTTTACAAGATAATAAGTATAAATGTATACATAGTTGTGAATACATGAAATGGTTACATATAAGAAAAATAAAAGAATAAGAGAAACAATAGGACAGGGACGGTAGGCACGTTGGTGCGCTTATGCACGCCCCCTACAGACCTCTTAGGAAAGGGGTGAGGTCAATAGTAGACAGTCTAAGGTTAAAGTTTTTGGGGTTTGGGGAAGAAACTACAGAGTCGGGTAGAGTATTCCAGACATTGACCACTCTATTGCTGAAGTCGTATTTCCTGCAATCAAGTTTGGTGCGGTTTACTTTGAGTTTGTATCTATTGTGTGCTCTTGTGTTGTTATGGTTGAAGCTGAAGTATTCATTGACAGGTAGGACATTGCAATGTATGATTTTGTATACCATGCTTAAGTCAGACCGAAGTCGGCGTAATTCAAGGTTTTCTAGTTCTAGAATTTCAAGTCTGGTGGCATAAGGTATTCTACAGCGAGTAGAGGAGTGGAGAACTCTTCTTGTGAAATATTTCTGGACTTTCTCAATTGTGCTAATATCAGATACGTAGTGTGGGTTCCAGACTGATGAACTGTATTCGAGTATTGGTCTAGCAAATGTTTTGTATGCTCTGGTTAGTAGTGTGATATTACCAGAGAAAAAGCTACGTAGGATTAGGTTAACAACTCTTAATGCCTTTTTGGCTATGTAGTTGCAGTGTGCTCTAGCACTTAGATCATTAGAGGTGAGTATTCCAAGGTCCTTTACAGAGCTTGGGTCATCAACAAGGAAGAAGGTAAAATGGCATTTCACCTCTGACTAGAGAAAAGGTGGAGTTACACAA